GACATGTCTCCCCAAAGATTGGCGGAATTTTGTTCGAAGTACATTTGTTCGAAAACCATTAGTTCGAAAATATGTTTGTTCAAAAGAGAGATTGTTCGAAAAACTTATGTTCAAAAATACTTTTAGTCGAGAATGTTATGTTCAAAAATTCTTTTAGTCGAAAACGTTATGTTCGAAGGTACTTTTAATACAACAATTTTATGTCAAACAATACTCATTCGATTTTTTTGTTGAATCCTTATGTAAAATATATTAAAGAAAATAGAAATATTGCCTTAGTATTCTAAATAAAATTAAAAAATAATAACTAATTTACCTAACTTGTGTGGTCTAGTCATCGCAGGTTGCTCCGCAAAAAAATTATACATAATAGGAAAAATAAAAACAAAATAAACTAAACTGACTGACCTAACCTGTGGAGATTCGCTAAAAATAAAAAAACTAATATTTTTATTGATGACCAATTAAATTTAAATTTCATAGTATTTTTATTTCAAATGCAATTAATACATGAAGCCTAATCATTTAATATATTATAGTTTTAACTCAAAATAGAGAATATCTTTCCCAAACTTACTCTTCATGAAAGACATTTCGTTGAATTATTTTATGCGTGATTTATTGTTAATTGACATGTAACAATAAAAAATGTATTGACAGTGACAACTAATAAACGAACAGACATAAAGACTAGGAAAGTTATAACTTCTTTTTCTCCTTTTACTAGAACGCAGACCAATGAAATTTATGTTTTTATGTAAGATATCTTACAAACAATCTTTAAAAAATATATATTAAGACTATTTATTGTTTCGGCCTTTACTTGATGAAAATCCATTTAATTTTGAAAGAGTAAAACCAAATTTGGTAGATTTTCACACTTTTATTATAAAAATAAATTTTTTTAAAAATGATCAATTAGATATTAATAATTCACCCTTATTAAATCTCTTTCCCAGTTTTCTGTGAGATAATCCCGGTAATGGGCTATCTTATTGTTATTTGATGGATATTATAATTACCTAAGTACCCTTATTTACTTTAAATAGTTAGTTTATTTTGTAATGTTATTGATGTTTTCTTAAGTACTTTGTTTTGTTAAATTATTTCGTATATATATTGGATACCGAATTGTAAATAGTCACATTTGAAAAAGAAGTTGTACTTCGAAACATATGTCATGTTAGTGTTTTTTTTTTTTTTTAAATTTTATTTTTAAAATAAAAGTGTGAAAATCTACCAAATTTGGTTTTACTCTTTCAAAAATATATTAAGACAAAAATAAATTCGAACAAAATATTATCGATCAAAAGTATTTTCGAACCACAGTTTTTCAAACAAAACATTTTGCGAAGAAAGATTTTTCGACAAAGGTATTTTCGAATTTAGGTTTTTCGAAAAATGTATTTTCGAACTATGGTTTTTCGAACATGTTTCGAACAAAATTCCGCCAATCCTTCCTAAATCATAACAGAAGCCGGAAACTAAACTTTCTTTCTAAGACAGTCATTCTGAAACACTTCTTCTTTTGTTCTTACGACACGACTTCTACAATCAACAATGCATCCTTTAAATCTGGCTTCATCATTCCAAATAATAGAGTTCTATTAGTGTGGAGACCATAACTGATGTTCCTTTGCACACGTTAGTCTATTTTTCTTCTGAAACTTTGTCAGTAAGGGCTTCTCTTTTGCCTATAAATTATTGAATTAAAAACAAACAAAAAGCAAAAATTATTCAGGCATACCTTGTAAGTTTTAAATCTCAGCGATTTGGGAAAAAGTTTGGCCCTTCAAATGCAAGTAAATTATCACTTTCCTTATTTCGTCATAAACAGCCTTAACACGAGCCATTTTTAGTTGTTAACAACAACACCAATGTACGAAAGTTAAAACGTCAAAATCGGCTTCTTAGCAAAGTCAAATATTATCATTTGTTTTACAAATCCTATTTTATTGAAGCCGATAAACCGACTATTCAACTTAAGTTGTCTCAATAATTTATTGTGTCAAACACAAATCATTTTACAAATAAAACAATTTCGAAATAAAAACTCTTTAAAAATAGCCACGCTGGTCTTATTATATTTCCAAAAACATTTAAACAAACCAAAAATATTATATTTTAAACAAAATTTTAATTTGCCCTGAGATAAATTCACAAATATCATGTTTTGTGGGGTTGGGTCAACTTCACTGAGACAGGGCTCATATATTTTTTATATATCCCTGTTATAAAGTGTAATAGTCTTTTGAGATGATAGTAATAATAGTTCAGCATCTAATATACATTTGACATATTTATCTTTATGATACCGTGCTAGGTTTAGTAACTCGATTTTTAAAATTGGTTCATTGAATTTAATATTTTTCTTAGTAAGCCATTATGCAATCTGGGTCTTTCTCCATTTGGTGATTGGGAACTGTTCTACACGCCGGCTGTGGTATGGAGCGTTATCCATAACAATAACAGATCCTGGTTCGATTTTTAAAAGAATATCTTAAAACAATTCCGGTCTTTGCTGATGAAATCAGCGCGCCTATGATACCGCTTCAACGATAACATCCAAGCAAGATTCAAATGCGTTGTTGCCACTAACGTCGCTTTAATCTGCGACGACAGTGTGGTTCTCGGACGTTATCTACCGTTAGATAAAGATGCAAACTACACACTGGCAACGTTCCATTTTACCAATCGCTTGAAAGACGCTTTAATGGTTTAAAAATAGACCAGTCAAATTATTAAAATTATTTCAACAAAATGATATCTGTTCTGAAAGTAAATAATAAACAAATGAATTAGTTATTCAAAAAATTTATAAAGATAGCGATCTTCTCAATTTTTTTGAAACTATCTGTACGTATAGTCTTTGAAGAGTGTGTAGAAGAAAAAGATTTTGGTAGAAGAAGAAGTTTTTTGTAAATTTGTAAGAGATTAAATAAATTTTGCAATACCCCACTAATTTGTTTATTAATTAATACTGAATATTTCTCCTTTTGTCGGTATTCAAAAAATCAACAACTATTAAAAATAACTTTTTTTGTACAGGGTAAACGTCTAATTTAATTGGCCTATACAATTTCTTTACAACATGAGTCACTATCTACAATAGTGGTATTCTACTATAGTAACCTACAATTTTAATCCAATTTTTTTGCACACATTGTAAAACTATTTTTATTTTTAAACAATACGTTTAGTAATCAGTTTTTTTTAATCATTACGATTAAAAAATACACGACATACGCGAACGAAACTGACCTAGTTACGAAGTAATATTATTAAACATACATCCTCACTTATCGACAGCTGTATATAAACTCATTTCAAGTTGATATCGTCTTTTGTTTTTGAGTGATTTTTTTAATATTTCAGCCTCCCTTAACCCCTATTTTTATTAATTTTTTTTTGTATGAATAGGCTTCATCCCCTTATAGAGCTTGACTTTTCCTAAATATATTTAACGTACTCTTAACGTTTAGATGTTTCAATTATTTGATAATTATTCAACATTATTTGGTTACTCAAAATTCAAAATATTCTAGTAAGAAAATTGAAATAAACAGAAAAATTTATATTATTTAAATTTAAATGAGATAATGGAAGTAAAAATACTAAAAATCTCTTTTGAATCTTTTAACAAAACTAAAAAAAAGGTATACTTTTTTAAAAAATATATTTTTTACCTACTGAATATTGTATTAATATTTGATTCCTAATTATGTCGAACATATTTTATTGCTCAGGTCTCATTTTTTATTTCAATGTATACATAGAAGTCTTATAGGTATAAATAACAACTTAAAAAAAAAAATTATATACAAATACCCACATTTTTATTCACAATGAAGGATGATTTGATGCTATTAAACCTGTATATTATGACTGCAAAGGGTACTCAGATTAATCTTATATACTTCAGAAAATAATTATATTTATTATGAATTATATAAAAAATACATTGAATAATAAATAAATCAAAATACTTTTACTAAGTGGTATAAACAAACACAAAACGTTTTAATTTAATAAATGACCAAATAAAGAGTATGGAAGGATTATTTAATTTTAAGGAGTTTATTGTAAAAATTACATAATACAAAACTTTTCATACTTTTCTTCGCCAGTATTAAAAGTAATTTGAAAGCATTACATATTATCCATAGATATATTACGTGTTTTTGTTACTATTAAAAAATGTAAGCTTGTAGGAAGATTAGACTACTAAATTTTGCCTTGACACGTTTAGACTGTGAATAGTTTGAAGTTCATGCCAAAGTTTATGAGACTCTTATTTGACTTTCTTTCGACTGGCTGCAAATGTAAATTGTTTTATAAGAAAATGTTATGTTAAAATTTTTAATAAAAGTTGAACCCAACCAATATCGTTTTTAATACTCTTTTACCTTTGCCAGTAGGTTGATTTGCCAAATTAAAAATACGCATTCAACGGACTGATAGGTTGTTCAGGGTTATGACCAGTTAAAAGTATCAAGCCGTCAATGAATGGATAATCTTGAATACTTCCTTTTAATTTAGAGGCATATTTAAAGCTCTTGTCTTTACAAATTAATGGTGAATATCTTGAAATTGGTATCCTTCATGAGCTATTAATGGGACATTCAATTTGCAGCCTGGAAAATCGGAAGAATATTTTTCAAATGTTCTTCCAATCAGAATTGTTTAGAATCAATGTGATTTTCAATATTTTCTAGAGAAAGTTCCTTCCTATATTCCTAGGTTGACGTTTCAAATAAATCTGTCATTATACTTGCCAACCCCATGTACTAACGTTTGTAAAAAAACTCGCTGTTACAAATATGCAACAATTATAACAGCATATTTGTCAATTTAGATATTTTTGACACGTCTCTTTGTCATAGTTAAGAATTTTTTGTTTAGAAGTCAGCAAATAAACTGATAGAAGTGTTCTATATTTTCTTACTTTCTAATGGGATCTACTCTATAAACTAAGTAAAGAAATAAGTTGTCCAATATGTGTAAAAGTTTATTTATATCAAGACATAAAATTTACCCGTACAAAAGAAATACAGAAACAATTTTAAATTATAGTATATTTCCCCTACAAGTTAATGCTAAAACATTTTATTTAGTAGAAAATTATATTGACATTTTCAATCACTATTATTTCCTAAACTTATGAAGTTATCCAATAACAAAATCTCACTATAAAGTCATGTTGAAATTAACTTTTACAAAAAAATATGTCAATAGCTCCAAATATTTTTTTATTTCTTTAAAAACCCAATTTTTTTCAAGTATCTCACAATAAACGGCACAGATACTAAAGTGATTCCAATTCTCACTGGAGCGAATACCTTGTGTACTGCATAACTAATAGCAAAAGTACCAGCACTTGTTGCTACTTCACTGTTTTTAATCAAACCATTAAGTCCTACAAATTCTAAAATTGCTGGAATATCCAAACCGCTGGAAATAAGAAAAATAATAGTTAAAGCAAATATAAATAGAAAATACAGGATTGTTTTTGAAATACAGGATGCAGATTAACTATTCTTATATAAATTGTCCGGAACTACTTGAGCACATGTCTGTTCCAACAATGATCAGAAACCAGTCCTTGGCACCAGGATTGTGGGCAGTATGAATGAATAACCTGTCATGCTTAAATGAAATATTTTTCAACTCATTTAGAATGTTAAAAGAATATTACAAATTTAGAAAAAGATTTGTGCACTGCTCCATGCTCCCTACTCATCAGACTTGGCAACTTCGGATTTCAGTCAGGCTGGCAAGAAATATACATCCAATTTTAGAAGGATTGGCAGCACAGAAACTTATGAGTGCAGCATAATTAAATTTCATTACGTGAAGGGTATTGAGTAACAAGGAGACTGTCAAAGTTTGGCTCCGTATTTTCTTTTTTCTTGGGCAGAACTTATTTATCCCATTCTTAAATTAAGACATTTTCTCTTTAATAAGAACAGTTATGGTGCCCTTTACCTTCAGAACACAGTTTTGTATAAATTATTGCATCCAAAATCTTTAATAACCTATCTATTGGACCCAGAAACAAAACAAATTTCCATAAATAAACTTTAATGTATTTTTAGTCATATAAGACCAATAAGATGCAAAACTTATTTTATCATTTAAGTATCATTAAATAGGTACATTGAATATACAGGTTTTTACCTACGTATATTTTTATTCCTAATGCTTTTTTTTTTTTTTTTTTTAAAGAAATACTAGCTAATTGTATCTAATTAAATATAAATTGGGTGTTATTGGTAGAAGTTATAAAAGTAATTTTAAAAAGCAATCTCAATATCGTTCAGATGACAAAACCCCCTTTCTAACAAAAAAAAGAATCAGAAATCAGACAAGGTGGTGAAGAATTAACGCTGAACATACATAAACAATTAAGCCTTTGAGGATTTTCTCATGGTCCCAATAATTAGATCTTTACCAAATTTATATGGGACCAACCCCTGAAGTACCCCCTTTCTAAAAAAAAAACATTGAAATCGGAAGGGTTAAAGAATTATCTCTAAACATACTTAAAAAAAAACTTACGCAGAAACTAATAAGTAGCAAGTTCCTAGAGACATTAACGATATCCCAATATGAAAGACAATTACTGTTGATCCATATTCTTTTACAGCCTTTTTAAGTTTTTCTTTCATTGTTAGTGATTCTGGTACAACTATTTTCTTAGTGATTTTTTTTTGTTCGCTCTCGGTTTTTAAATTAATGCCTTTAATAGCTGTGTCTTGATCCTGATTTAATTTTTCTTTACTTGTTCCCGATTCAGGCATAACTATCCTTTCTGTTGTCATTGTCTTCTCAGTTTGTTTGTCTGTACTTTTCAAATTGAGGCCTTTTAGATCTAGTCCTTTATGCTGATATCGACATGATTGTAAAGATAAGCTGTTGCATGTTATATTTGATTTGAATGGTAAATTAATTGGTATAGAACTAGGTCCGAGATACTGATGATATTGGCCAAACCATATACTGTAACATCTGTAATTTCCTAAAAAATGAAAAGAACTTAATCAAGATTTCCATTGAGAATAATCTGATAACCATTGACGAATATAATTTGCATAATTCAGTAATATTGGTTAACATATTATTCCTTTTTTTGCTTGTGTTATTACTTAAACTATTAAAAGATTTAACGTAAGCTGCATTTCCAATCATTTTTATAATGTAATAAACAAAATTAATATCACATTGTCGCATGCATTGCTACTTGAACTTTGCTTATTTGATTTATCAAAATAATATAATTTTTTTTAGCATTGTCACCACAAAACACTTGTGAATTGTCAAAACATAACCACTTGAACTACTAACCCCATTCTTCTTCTTAAATTAAAATAATCCCTGTATTTTGCGGAATTTGGCCAATTTCGTGGATCAGGGTTTCACCAATCACCAGTTCATTGGGGTTTCAAACGATTTTTGTTGATAAGCATGTCTATTAGAATAGAGGACTTCTCAAAGAAGTAGAGAGGGTAGAACGATAAGGTACCGTCTGCGCATCCATCACGAGTGTAGAAATTATGCGTGATTCAGCCTTCCACTCTTACACACGTAAATGACAAGGAGAGGTTGCCCTAAAGCACTGTAAACAAATTCCAGGATCGACTTTATTCAGCGATTATGTTCATGTTCAGCTCTGTTTTTTGTTTGTGTTTTGGCTGTTGTAAGCTTTTTTGGCGTCAATTCTTTGTTATCTTGCTTATATTTATGATTTTTTATGCTTTTATTCCGATTTAGTATTAAATTATACTTGTTAATTATTTTTCGATGCACTATTTTATAATTGTTGCACAAAATGTTGTTAAACCGTCCCTGAATTTTGTTTACAAAATGTGCAAAACGAAATTGTGCATAGTGTCCAGACTTTTTCATTGACAGTTATCATTCTACCCCTCTCCACGTCATTGGGACTTCTATACAAGGGAAGTGCTACCAACTTGACAAAATAAAATTGACACTAATGACATAAGAAATCGGGTCACATAAAGAGGCTGTTTTTTAGTTTACTTTTTCGTTTTTCTTATATACTTTTATGCCATTTACATACCTTGTTGTACCCGTAACGTGAAAAGGACTTTTTATTTTAGGGTATTTTACATTTAAAGGTTGAAACATTTTGTCATTGTCAGCTGTCAATTATGGTGATGATAGAACACAGGCGTAACCATAGATGGGCACAACGTAACTAGTGTTGTATGTTGGTTGTATATTGTATAGAACTTGTATTCGTTGCAGCAGCATTTTGCAATCGACATAAATAAGTAAAACCAAATGACAAAAAATGTTTCAAGAAAGCAGGAGAAACACAAATAGACTATTAACAATAAAAAATAAAATGCAATGCTACGCTTATGTTTTGACATTATCGACAGCTAATATTGACAAATGTTTTCAACCTTTAAATGTAAAAAAACCCTAAAATAAAAAGTCTTTTTTACGTTACGGGTACAACATGGTATCTAAACGGCATAAAAGTAGATAAGAAAAACCAAAAATTTTACAAAAAAACAGCCTCTTTATGTGACCCGATTTCTTATGTCATTAGTGTCAAAAAAATTTGTCAAGTTGGTTGCACTTCCCTTGTATAGAAGTCCTCTATTACAATAATATGAATATGATTATTCAACTTGTTTGGTATTTGTATTTGTCTACAATGAGAAATGTGCTGGTCTGGTACACGAGAAAAAGTGATTACCTCTTAAATGGGACCTCTAGGAAAGAGGCCAGAAAATATTTAGAATGTTATGGAAAAAAAGAAAGAAGAACTTTGTTACTTTGACATTTTGATAAGTAAACAAAAATAAATACAAAAATTCATGTTTATTGCTTACTTTTGTGTTATAGATATAGAAACTTTAAATCTTAGGTATGATAAAATTTGTAATTATGTAGTTGTTAATTAATCGTAACATAATTTGTAGTTGATTTTATAATATACAATAAAAAAAAAACGATATGGACCCCATAGTAGGTTTAGAAAAACAAATTGAAGCTCTAGAACTGCAAGTTTTACCGACAGAAGACCATTCCAAAATTTTAAATAAAATTGAGGCTATTACTAGTTTATTAATGCAAACTCAGAAGATGATAACCTCCGCCTTAAGTTGTCGTGAAGCTATAACTTCAATGCTACAACCTTTGGTAACCATCAATGATTATTTAAATTCTACAGATAACAGTTGTGAAGTAGAAGTAGAAGCCAAAAGACGTTATTTACTTGAACTGTATCCAGAATTGAAAAATACAGTACAAAGTATTGGTACCTTCGAATCACTTTTGCCTTTTCTTGGTTCTATAAATACATCTAGAGTAGTTGAATTTTCTGAAAAGTTAGGAGAATTAGTTTTAGATAACGGTAAACTCTATGGGGAATGTAGAGATATTACAGAAAATGTGCTTGTAGCGTTACAACAATATAATGATATATCTAGCTCTATTCAAATACTGCTTACACAGTGGGATACTACTGTGTTAAATTTAGAGCTCGCTTTGCAACCTAAATGTCTTAATGAACAGTGAATGTATATTGTTCAAGTCAATGGGTTACCAGGATTTCTATGTGTGACTCACTCAATGTAATAATGTGAGCAAGACCCGAGCTTAAAGAATGTAATAATCTTCAGCCTGAGGTTTACTGTAAATGTTAGATGTCATGTTTATTGGATTGATTTCTTTTAGAAACTAAGGTTATATTGCAAAAATATCAGTTTTTATTGTATGACAGCCAAAAAAGTCTACTACTTTAGTGGAACTAAGTTTATTCTGGTTTATTCTAATTATATACTCTAATATAATTGAATAATACACCTACATTATTATTGTCTTAGATCTTAGACAAACAAATAAAAAATAAAAGAATTCTAAGTAGATTCTAGCCTAAATGCTGAATATATAGCAGATTGCCAATATTTAAAGATCATACATAAGACTCGCTCATTTTTGATAATATTTTATCTTATCCGAACAACTAAAAAATATACCTACTTACAGTTACTTGAGTTAGAAACGTGCACCGATTCCTCTACGCATTCATTAAAGTTATTTACCGATGTCACCATTCCATTAAAGGTTTTAACTTTAATAATTTTAAAAGGTCCCTTAACAACAAATTCTTTTTCAATTCTTTTTATCTTATACAGTTCATCAAATTTCTAGAGGTGTTCGACGCCCAGACAGAGAACGCGCTACGTGTGACTAAGATAGCTATTGTACAGTCTGCTAAACAAGTTATTTTAAATAGTTTTTAATATTTTTAGGTAATTAAATTTTAAAAGTATGGAATAGTTTAGGGATTAAATTGGTCTGATTGGACTTTCTTAGAACGTTTTTAAAAGCAGCTAAAGATAGTATGTAGAATTGAAAATAATTATTATGCCATAAAAGGTGTTTTGGAATTCCTTCAACCTTTTGAAATTGAGTCAGAAAATATAAATTTTATAGGATAGCGGAAAATACCTATAATTTTTTTGTAGGCCTTTGTAAATCGTGGAAATAGTTTATATTTTATTTCTACCTTATTAAGGAAAATGGTACCTATTATTAATAACGGTTGTTTCTGAAACATTACTAAAATTTTCGAAATTTTGTTTTTCTACAAAATAATAAACTATACTATTTAGAAAAAAATTTATTTCTCTTATAATTTTATAAAAAATAACAGGGGAATATTTACATTTCTTGATCTATTAAACAAAACGATAAATTATCTCGACGAATGACACCATGTTCTAGTACGGAAGCTAGCTTTACATTTTTGTTGGTGGTTTCATGGGTTTCATATCAATTTTTTGTAATTGTAGTTTACACGTACATATACCTCTTAACAATTGTTTGCTTTATTAAAAAAGTGTGTTGTTGTGATTTACGTCGAAATAAGTCAAAAACAACTTGAAACCCCATATAAAATCAAAAAGGAGAAACGGAAAAAAATTGAGCCTGTAAATGAACACAACTCAGAAACAAAAATAGCTATCTAATAATAAAAAAATAAAATTTGATTCTTGTGCAGCTTCATCTATATCATTAACTGTTTTTGGTTTTTTAATGGTTTTTCTTGGTGATGAAAATTCCGATATCTCACGGTTATCGATTCTTTTTTTCTCTCCAGAAATGCGGACGACAGTGTTTTTAGATACTCCTGTGGCTGCAGCAACACGATCATTTACATTTTTAAATGGTATTGAAGGTGAATTAAAGTTTCCTTCTCTTCTCATAAACTCTATAACATTGGCTATTATTTCGCGAGATTGACTGTTAATCACGCGGCCTCTTAATTTGCTATTATAAACTCCATACTTAGGTTCTATTAAACTGTAATGAGCAAAAAACACAAACGAAAATAAAAGAAATGTTTTAGCGAAATTTACATCTGACATTTACGTCTGAATGAAATAGTGAAATACTTGATGCGCAGAGTGTACTTTCATTGCGTAAATCCGTCGGGATGCCTGTCAGTAGTGCTTTCTCTGTCTAGCCGTCGAAAGCCTCTAGAAATTTGATGAACTGTACTAACAATTACAGTAATGTATAGATAATATGAATAGAAAGGGTTCCCTTTAACAAAACTTTTGGTTTATAGAATTCATAATAAATTATATTATTTACAATCCGAACATGTTTGTTTATAGATACCTTTCTTAATAACAAATACATAAGAACACATCTCTTTCAAAATAAAAACAAACTAAAGAAGCATGGCACAGGGCAGTTCAGATTACAGAATTTAGGGCTCAATTATAGAGTATTTTGTATTAAAGAGGGTTTAACTATCCATACATTACTGTAGTTTGACAGAATTGTCTCTAATTTAAAATTTTACAGAAGATTAGGGGTACTAAATGAAATATGATTTATGTACCTATATTCAGAAATGGATATAATAATTATCTCTCTATAATTCATTTCTTTTGAGTGTATCTCTGAAGAGCTTCTGCAGGTAGGGATGACTATTATTATTTGCCATCAAGATTTCAAATGAGCCAATGCGTTACTAATTCAAACACACTCAAATTGTTCATATTTTACTTTTTCTGGAATAATTATTATTATAAAGATTTGAAGCCTTATTATTTTTGAAGCTTTCGTAAATTTTTTGTTTAAATTTACAATACATTTTTTTTGTAGTACATTAAACGTGTTTAATTTTTGCTCCCCCTATCCTCACGAAATTTAAATATCAAAGAAATATTCATTAAATGGAAATAAATAATGAGAACCGGTCTGTCTGTAACGTGTGGGGAGGGTGAGTTACCCCCACGGCACTTAGACCTCACTAGGCCCATTTTGCATTCTCCTAAGATGAGGTCGTGAGCCAGCCTACAGATTTAATGTAGTTGACAACGTCGCCAGGAGGGCCGATACTCGCCGAATACAAATCTAATAAATGAGAGCGTCGGGCAATCGTAGAGGATATGCTCGATTGTCTCATTGTTTGCACACTCTGCAGAGTGCGGATTCTGACAGCCCCATGATATGGAGATGCTTCCGTACTTGGCAATGACCAGTCAGAATGCCTGTGACTAGGCGCAGATTCTGTCTAGTCATAGTCAAGTATTTGTTTGCTGCTGTGTTGTCAGGATAACTTAAAAGCTTCCTGGCAACTCTGCAGTTTCTTGTTTCATCCCATCTTTCCTTGAATTTCACAAAAAATACCATACTTCTATTTCGCGATCGTATCGACGCGGTCCAGTAGCCACTTCGCGCTAGATCGTATCCTTTTTCGTCGTCGGTCACAAACGTCACTTTTCGTTTTCGTATCAGCTCGATAGGACCTTTTTAGATGTCGCAAAATAAAATTAAAAAATGAGAAAAACATCGAGGAAAACAATAAAACTGGAGCCTTATAAGAAAATAAAACGAATTCTAAAGAGATTGGACTAGAGTTCTAGTAAGTATATTATGTTAATTTTAAATTATTTTAGATCTGACGGTAGAATGGTATCACGCCATTTTGTAAGATCAATCAAAAATATAGAAAAAGCGATATTAAAGGCATTTCTTCATAAGCTTACCAGAACATACTTCTGTAACCAGAGCATTTCTTTATAACGTTTGGTTACTCTGCTTTGGTTACCAAAGCATATGTAGCTACATCTAACGAGGCATTTATTTATAAGCTTACTAGAACATACTATAATAAAAAATAACAAAATCAAAACATCCTAAAATTTCTAAAATTCAAATTCCGTTTAGAAATCCCCAAACTTAAATTAAATTTGACATATTAGGTTCTTTCGTTCGTCCCACTGGTGTAGTTGGGTGTAGTAATGAACTACACCAACCCACACCCATACCTTTCGTTTGGTCCGGTGTAAAACCCACTATACCTTCCTGTCGGCGATGTGGTGTACACTGGTGGATATTTTCTCCACCAGCTATTTAGCAGAAGTGAATTACACTCGACGATGTGTATCACAAAGCACATAGAGGTTCCACGTGAATGACCAAGGTCAAAACCGACAACTGACATTTTTTATGCTATTTGCTCCAAACTCTAGATGGGGCTACTGGTGAAATTATGATTTCTTACTCCATTTTTAAGCCTTATGGGAGAAAAACTTAACCAAAGACTCCAAAGATGTGACGTGTATTTATTTATGTTCTTGGTTAGTTTCATTTTTCCGTCTGATTTTAGTGATTTTTTGTTGGCTTTGGTTTTTGGTTTCTGTTTATAGTTTCGTCTTAGTTATTTGCAAAATTGTGATGTTTGGCTTTTTTATTTCCTACTGTGTTTTGCAATAATTTTGGTGCTACGTTGAAAACTTCATCATAAAAAGACAAACGGGGACAACAACTAATTGATAATCAATTTATCACTGGACTAGATTCCGAAATCATTTTTCACATAAGAGAGTAATACCACCATCTGTATTTGGAAGGAAAATACCTATTTATCATTGAATGAATAGTTAAAAGGATTCACCTTTTAATACAATACCTATATTACATTTGTCCTCAGTTAAAAAGACATTTATAAAATATATAACTTTAGTGTTAATAAAATGTAATATCCTAGTCTCTACTTCACATTTAAATTATTGATAGGTATTTTAAAGATTTGAGATTATATATCTATTTGCTCCAAGTAAGTATTCGTTAAATATGTATTTATTTTTATCTAATAATATTTATTTAAGTTATTAATAAACATATTTTAAGAATGTTCTATTTTATTATTTATTGATATATCTTATATTTATTTAATAAAAATATGCAGAACCAACTCTCCACATTAGACCCCTTATAACAAATTAATTCTTCAAATTTGATATAATCGACCTAAATTATTTTGTAAAATAAAAGTTTCGAACTTACTAGTTCCATACTTTATTTTATAAAATAATTTATGTGGAAATCATTTAAAATTTAATTTAAAACTACTACCTACTCCTAAAAATTACAATTTGAATTTACCGCCATCTGTCAATTGTCATTTTAGTTCCAGCTCCAAACACAAGGTGGCGCTAATTTGGTTTAAAAGTTTAACATTGGCGTGGGGTCTCTAGAAGATACATGCTTTGTGATGTGTATAAGGAAGAAGTAAATTAGGGTAAATAAGGTGGTGTAACTGGTGTAATTTACACTGGTGGACGACACTACACCAATAGCGAACGAAAGAACCTAATATGACATTCAATAATAGGGAAACCATGGTATGCGTAATGTCACCACAGTAACCACAATACTGTAACCAAGTATGTTATAGTAAGCTTATAAAGAAATGCCTTAAGTTTTTATGTTTTGGTATGCACCCACATGAGTTGCAGATGAAGCACTAGGCATTCACTTGAAGTGCCACGTTTGTTATGGTTTAACCAAAAAGAACTAAATCGTACAAGAGTTGGTGTGCACTCACATGAGTTGCTGAA